GGCTGGGGAATTCTGGGAGTTGAAGTCCACTCATCTTAAAGTGGCCAAGTTTGGACAACACTGGCCTACATGATCTTTAAGATTTTTTCTAAACCTGACATTTCATTATTCCAAATTGTCTTTATTTAAAGGTTCCCCTCAGTCCCCCTATTGGACTCAGGCGATGGCCCAGCAAACATATTAAAACAATGAAATATATATTTCATTATGTTTTAACATGCTTCATGGACAAATAAATGAATTTTTGAATAACCAGATTAAATAAATGAGAAAAAATCAGAACAAATTTTATTTTGGTTCATTTACAATTTTTTAAAAAGATTTAAAGCAATAAAAACAGCACAGCAGAGCAAAATAGGCTGAAGAATAATACAAAGTATGTGCCATACACAGATTACATGCAAAGTACATCCTAGATCAAAATATGGTAGCCTTTCTTTATACACACACTAAGCCATCATAAAGCAGGTTGCTAAGCAATCTAGAAGCCAGATTAATTGGTCACAGCTTGAGTGACTCCTGGTAATATTATTCTAAGGCTGCAGGAAGATAGTTGATTGACCGCCCACCAAATATGTCACTTCTCTTCCAACCTCCCATCTTGTCTTCTGAGGCCCAAGACTCGTCCTTCTGTTGTCTCAGTGTACCTGGAGCCATCCTCTTCAGCTGTCCTCATAAGCTTGCAAAAGATACCAGTCTTTCTCCTCCTCACATCATATCTAAGACCAGGTGCATGGAAGCATGTTTCATGTTATGGTGTAGCTGCTGCTGCTGCTTGACACGTTCCTTTTCAGCTTCACTGGTTATGGGATGAGTTGCCAAGCTTGTCCTGGAAATGTCTTATTGATTTTTCCCCACTCCCATCTTCTTTCAATTTCATCAGAGTGATTGTGAAGGTGAGTTCTGGAAACCATGATGCATTCATGATGTTGAAAGATAATGTCTTTCAACAGTCATGTTCCCCAAAGAAACAGAAAATTTGAAAATTTTAAAGCATAAAAAAAAAATTAAAAACATCTTTATCTGGTACCTCAAAGATGTTAATAAAGGCAGCAAAAGAACCTGCTGGGTACAGCGTTCCACAGATGGGGCACTACAGTCTTCTCCTCATACTGGATCCACACTTGTGGGGACCTTTTGGGAGATAAAAATCTTAATTTATAAATAAACCTTGATAGGATGCAGAAACAGAAGGATAAAGCAGAAGAATGATAACAAGCATAAGGACAACTGAATCTTACTGAAGATCTGCCCCTGTAACATCCAAGGATAGTGGGTTTTTTTCTTGGAAAAAATGGAAAAAATTATGACTATGTCATAATTTCCAATCCTATTTAGAGGACAAAGATAGTGAGAGAGAGAGAAAGGAAGGATGTAATTTCAGTGGCATAAGAACTGCTTCTGCATTATTAGTTCTAGGGATATGCATTAGATTCAGTTGAACCCTGGATCCTAAACAGAAGCAATTCAAGCAAAGTAATTTAGATTGAAGCTGCAGATTCTCAAGGTGGGATAGACTATTCTAAATCCATGTTACTCTGATTCTGGAGCTCAGACTGAATTTGGTATGCATCTATGGAATTTTGGGTACTGCAAAGGACAATAGTTTCATAATACTATAACATCATAGTATACGTAAAATTAAAATGCCATGGTGGGAATGGGAGGAGGAATATTTGATTTCAATGACTGAGAGGTCTTTGGAAAGTGGTGAGGACAACTTGAATATTTGCTTCATGTAGTTCTGCCTCATTGTTCTTTCTTTTCATTCAGAACAGTTGTGTGCTTTTCTGAACGGCCATCTGATCTATGAATTTAGCATTCTCTATTCCCTTCTAATGGCCTAGCTTTCTGGAATATTTCACTCCATTATATTCAAAAGTCACTGCATTTGTGCTGTTCCTCTGCTTGATTATATAATTGGCAGATCAACCCAGCCTGGATTTGCCATTTTCAAAACTTGGGATGGGTCTCTTTGTGGGTTCTCAAGATGTGCAGTATACCTTTGAACCATATGCATGCGATTCAGTTTGGATCATTTCATTTAAGTCTCCACTGGCCAGAAAAGAAAGTAACAACTCAGATGAGTAGAGTCCTTTCCCACCATTTTGATATTCAGACCTATCTACCATTGACGTGGAATCTTGCTACCAGAGGCACCCCTAAATGTGAGCTAAGTTACTCTCCCATATAGGTCTGGCTTTATCTGGTCTGCAGCACACTGGCCTGCCTGGTATTAGAATGCTCCTGCGTGTTCTGTAAAGCAAATTGAGTAAAATCTTAACTTCTGATATCATAAGTGCTAACCTACAGAACCGGAAAAACAACAACAGATTTCCTATTTGAAAATTAGTAATTAAAGTTCAAGTAAAGAGGGTGGTGAAGGGTGCTAGCTTTGGGGTGTGTTTTGACAGTTTGCGCTGTAATTGTGCAATGAAGTCTACAGACTTTGGGTGATCTTCAAAAGTGTAGTATATAGAAGAAGCAGATGTGGAAAATGCCAATCAGACAAGGGATTATTTTTAGAAGAAGGGAACTAGTTCTTTTTTTTTTTTTTTAAGACACAATTTCTTGGCTAGCAGTTTGCAGAATTTGAGCAATCCTTACTTCATACAGAGAGGATACTATTTCTTTTGTGCTTCACATGCATCTTTTCTGGTTTTTACAAGGAGCCTGAAAAAAAGAGAATGATGCTCTCAAGATCACCTGTTAAAAGTTTTTAAACTGGTAAGTCAATTTAAGTTAGGAAGATGATGGAGTTTATATTTGGATTTGTGTGGATAACAAGCAGAGCAAAGCAGCTAGAAAGAATTAGACATGCTGCACTGATGTCTAAGTTTGCAAAGTAACCTACTAATGCAAATAGGGTAATTAGTTCATGTCAAAACCTTTGAATGTCTGACATCAGTGAAATATACTATATGCTCATATAATTTAGTAAAAACAATTAAAATGTTTATTAAAGTAAGTTTAAACATATTTCCTCTGTTCTGAAATTCTTAAATCCCTGATTCTTTCTCCATTTCCAAAAAGGGGTTGGTGGGATATATATTTATCAGATCATAACAGTGAGCAGGAGACTTTTTAAGCATTAAGAAGCATCCAGGAGCATTGTGTTCCAATGGCATCCTCACTTACTAGTTCTCCTTCAGCAGGATTTTTTTTTTTTATGGCACAGAAAGGTAGAGAATAAATATGAATAAAATGTGTTCAGATTTGCACTCAGAAACCCTGCTAAAAAGCATAATAATAAGGCTTGAAGGGAAACGCTGAATTTCAAAAACAGCAACAGTCCATTCTGCCATGCTTGTTAAATTTATACATATTTGGCTAGCAGAGATGTTTGCATTTCAGACATCTGAATGAAATATAAAGAACATCTGTCTACACACAGTAGTTCTTCTCTACTCTGTGTTTTCTGGACAACTAACAAAAAAGAAATCTGCTTGATCAGCTCGATCACCTATACATAACCGGCATTCCAAGTTGCTGAGATCTTAGAAAAGCCACTGTTTATTTACTCATATGAAAAGCATTTTTGGGTAATTTGAGTCTGTTCATGAATTTATAGTAGAAATGTCTACATATACTGGATCATGCCCTGCTCATAGTGATTTAAATGAGAATTTCATGCTGTGACACCGAATTAGTTTCTATGTAGAAAATGCATTTGCTTTTGGCTTAGTGCAGGTTTTTTTCCAAGATGCTGTTGGGATTACCACTCTGAGAGTTTGGAGCCTCATAATATATACACATGTGAATGTGTGGGCTTGCACACACATGAAAAGGGATATTTTTTGAAAGTTTCAGAGAAATGGGAATAAGATAAATTATTACGGGACCATCGAAGAGGGAACATAGCATGTTGCCCGTGGGCATCAGTGTGTCTGAAGACATTTTACTGCTATCTTCCAGGCTTTCTTGTAATGTAATGTAATGTAATGTAATGGTATAAGGTAACATAATATAGTGCAATTTAATTTAATTTAATTTAATTTAATTTAATTTAATTTAATTTAATTTAATAAATAAATAGGAAACCAAAGCTACAGCCACTAGCACCATCTTTATGAGGATGCCTGTAAGGCCCACAGAGAAGTAGCTCAGTGGTTTGTTTGAAAGTTTTCCTAGAAAAAAAACAAATTGTGAGGAGCAACAAAAGATAGTAGGGAATAATTTCATTGGGTCCTTTTTGGTAAATGATGGTTTTCTGATTGGCTTCCGTTTTTCTATGTTAGCCATTCTGTTAATAGATGAGCCCCGCCCATGGCATCCATTTTGTGCTTATTCCCACAACATGTTCCTAAAATTCCAGTGTGTCCACCAGCCCGAAATTGTTGCCTACCTCTGTACAAATAAATGCTATTTGTGACACCAAGTGGAACATAGCCTGGAGACTTCTATGGGTTGAAGTTTACATTTATGCATTTGGTACATATAGGAATATTAGACAGCACTGCATGCTTTCCCATAAAAATGAATGAAACCATTTGTTTATATGGATGAAATTAAAGGGACACACTGGCTTTTATAGAAAGCATTGGGATGAGGATAAATGTTCCCCCTGTCCCAGGCATCAATAATTTAGCCTTATCTGGCTAGCTGCATCCTCAGTTTCTTTGTAATACAGGAATTGATTCCCTCAATTTATGCAGTGGCTGTGAATGGGAGCTCTGAGTCAGAAAACTCACAGGGGCTTCAGCTATAACAGGAGCAGATGCTGCTGAACTGCAAAACCCAGATGTCTCAAGCTCCATGGTCAGTGGTGAGCTATGCTGGGAGTATTATTAGTTCAGTTGGATCTGAAGGTCCACAGGGTCCTCATCATTGCACTATAAAGTCACTGATTTGTCTTCAGGGCTAATTTCTTGTGGAGTTATTTATGAGTTTAAGAAAGCTTACATCACTTGGGGCCTTGAATATGCTCCTAATCTGGGAGGGGAACCTTTGCTACTGTTCCTCTGATTATTTCTCTCCTACTTGCTTTTGCCTTCCAAAGTCTCACTTTTTTCCAAGGCAAGAGATAGCCAGGAGGAAGCAATTACACGTAGTCCTTGCTTAACAACCGCTCATTTAGCAACCGTTCAAAGTTATAACAGTGCTAAAAAAAAGTGACTTACAACTGGTGTCCGAAGTTATGACCGTTGCAGCACCCCCACAGTCATGTCATTATGATCTGGGCGCTTGGCAAACAGCTCGCACTTACAATGGTTGCATTGTCTTGGTGTCACATGATTGTCATTTGCAACCTTCCCAGCTGGCTTTCAGAAGCAAAATCGATGGGGAACTGCATGATTCACTTAACGACCACCCCAAAAAAGGTTGTAAAATCAGGTCCAGTCACGTGATGATTTGCTTAACAACCACATCACTTAGCAACATAAATTCTGGTCCCAACAGTGGTTATGAAGTGAGGACTACCTTATTCATTATCCTGTGCTCTGTTCGTTTTAGGGCAGCTCCACTCCACCACTCTGTTCCCTCCCCAAACCCTTAAAAGCAATTTGAAGGTAAGCCACAAAAAAGAAAAGAAGCAGTATCCAGGCTCTTCCTTCCTACTGCTGGAAAGAAGAGGGAAACTGGCTAAGCTCTTGCCAGTTTCACTGCATTCACTTTGTTTGGGCTACTAAAGGGAAGCTGAAATGTCTGGGACATATTGGCTGGTGCTTCTCCAGACATCCTTTAGGAAAGCTGTTAAAATGGTCTTGTTAGCAGAGGCTTTGATTTGGCATCCAGCGAGCCTTTGTAATGGATGTACTGCTGAGTTGCTTATTTACTGTTCATTGAGGTTTTATGGTTGGTTTTTATTGTGGACCACTGGAAGTCGTTTTGTGGTATAGCAGCAGAGAAACATAGTAAACAAAGAAAGACATATCAACAGCTTCATTCTAAAAGCACAAGGAAGGATCCAGGGCTGCTTTGGGAGATGACTTCAGTCAGATGGGCGCCTTAAACATTTGAAGACTCAAAGCACCTGTTTTTCATTAAGTGCCCCAATTCCCCCCACCCCCTTATAATGCAAAAGAGGGTCTTACATTTCCCCATTCTCCCTGAAATGCAAAAAAGCCTCCTCTGGATGGAACTGTAGAGGTGAGAAAGCACTGCTGGCAGGTTGCATGTGACCCCTGGGGTGAGGTTTTGGGTTTGTTTTTTGCACCCTGGTGTGATGCTCAGGAGCTGGGAAAAGAGGTGAGGCAAGAGCTCTTTTCAAAGGAAACACAGAGCCACTCCACCTGAATATTAAAACAAAGCAAAACCCTCAATACACAGCATTTTCAACTACATTGCAGCTGAACTGGAATTACATTGGCTTACCGGCCCCATGAGGTAGGTGACTGACAGCACCCTGGAGATTATCACCCTTCAAACTGGCAGATAATCCATGTACAGAAGTGTTCTGGTCAGAGCCTGGTTCCTCCTCCCCAGACCATTTTTGGCTGCTCCCCTAGCAATGGCATACCTGCAATCCTACCCATAAATGCCTCACCTGAGAAGGCACCTAGCAAGGACAGCCGCTCAGATGAGTCCAAATCCCATAGACGATGATGATCCTCCTAGCAATGGATAGGTTTATACCTGCCATATTTCTCCATTCACTACTTGGTCTCCCGCTACTTGATGGGAGGGCTGCTTCTGACCTCAGCTTTGGAAATGGGAGGAAAAACATGGGATGGCATTCCAGCTCAGCCACTTGACCTCAGCATTGCATATAGGAAAGGCGAGTCTCTCCCACTCCCCACAGGCAGCCCTACTCGGAAATGGGTTAGAGGGACATGCATTTCTGTAAATATGGGATGAATCTGCTTCTTGCTTTTAACAGATATGCCTATGTACATCTTAGACACATAATTTTCCTAAGCTAAATAAATAAGGGAAATAGGTAGGGAAATAAAAGAATAGGGACTGAAATGTAATGATTACTCTGCATCATTATTCTAACAATATAAAGCCTACAAAAATGCAATCATGGCCAATATTCCTTAACATACCCTGCACTGTTGGGCATATGATTATTTAAATAAATGTATTTCCATTATCATTTTGATTTATCTTTGTATTTTCAGTAATTTTGTGGAATGGATGTGTCAAAACAATTGTCCTCAAACTGTCCTCTCCATTTATTAAACTAACATATATTTCAAATTAAAAATACCTTGAAGTGGATTGCTCAGCCTCACGCAGTCTTTTGCCCTTATCTCTACTGAAATCTTCAAATCACTACTATCTTGGAGCATCGCTGTTCCAGTCCACCTGACCAACTGTGGCAAAAACAGCAATACTAATACTGAACTTCCTTTATGACAAGAATTTGTACACTCGCTATTTGGGAGACTTGAAAACTCGGCATGACGAGAAGGGGAGCTTCCAGCAGCAGCTGTTTTTCAGGCCCTTCCTCCTCTTATATTTGCTGCTGTGTGTAAACAGGCTCAGTGGGCCTCAGCTGGCTCTCAGTTGCCATGGGATGGGTTTCTTCCACCACAAGAGCAGGAGGCAGGCTAGTTATTTGGTACATGCTGGGCTTTTCATGGGCTTCTAGCACCCAGAAGGGAGTGAAACAAGCTCATCTGTCCTTTCCTCTTAGGCATTGCCTCTATTGTTGTTCTTGCTTATTGCTCCTGGGTCATTGTTCTCGCAGGAGCTCCTGACACTCTTGAAGCATCATGTTCCCTAACATTTCCTCCAGCCGCAGTAACAGTCAGATTAATTCAGCAGTTCCTGACACTGGTTCTAGCTTCCCAGACTACCACATTGCAGAGGTCCACAGGAGTAGCTTTTCAGCAGTGTCAGCTGAAAGCTATGGCAATAAAAAAATATTGTCCTATTGTCCTATTTGTTGGTGGCTACAGCTGGCAGAGTCCCTCTTCTATCTATGCTTGGCAAAAGGAAGGAAGGAGGAGAGGCACTTTCTTTTCTTCTGCTCCCTTTTTCCATGACTCAGTCATGATTCAGATCTTGCAGTGCTCCTCCTCTTTGCTTGTTGAACTTTGTAGTTTGGTTGCAGAGATGGATTACTCAGAAACCGATAGGTGGGATGGCCTTGCCCACAGATAGAACAACTAGATCACATAGCTAAAATGTAGGCAATTAAATTCTGATGGCCAAGTGAAATTGCAGAATAATTCTCTGCATATTCAGTTAACTACAAAATCTGGAACTCTTTACAGGAAGTTTCCACAATTAAAAGGTATAAGTTGTTGCTCTTGGTCTTGCTGCTGCTGCTGCTGCTGCTGCTGCTGCTGCTGCTATTATTATTATTATTATTATTATTGCTGCTGCTGCTGCTGCTGCTCTAAAAGCTCTGAGCAGTGTACAGAAAAGTTGTACTATTAACATAGAGATTTTTTCTGAATGTCCCCAGTTTCCCTAATTCTGTTTTAAAACTCTGTTCTCCCATTCAGATGATGTTGTTCTGTTTCATTCATCAGGGAACACACAGATACAAGCCTTTGGGACTATTTTCTTCAATTAACTCCTGCCACGGGAATATGGCCTTCTTGCAGATCTGAGAGTAATAAAAATTCCATTGGAAAAGTTCACATACTGCTGTTAGGTAAGTAACATTGAAGCATAAATATGGTTTATGAAAGTACGTGATTGTGATAGTTCCTTTTTTATTTCTTGTTTATATCCCATGTGTCTGGCCATAGATTAATGAAGGTGATGATAACAAATAAAAGTAACTATTATGATTTGTGAATAAGAAAATGCATAATTAGTAGTTATGCTATACCTTTATCAAGAACTTTATCAAGGCAAAAGGGACTGTGGGATTTCTGATTCTGCAGAATTCTAAATCAGACAAAGTGGAAAAGAAGCAAAGCATAGGGAAAGATGTAAAACTCCAAAAGTTAGAACAGATTGCATGGTATGAAGTTTATAAATCCTCTGCTATTAGTAATCTCCAATCCTCGCAACTTGTTTTGAAAAATTCACAACTATGCATGAAAATTTGGAGCATTAGTTCATTCCTGTGGCTCTTTGGTCTCTTCTTCTCACAATAAACAGAATGGTGGTCGGGGGGGGGGGGGGGATCGGGGTCATGACAAAGGGACTTTTTGCTTCTTGCTCTGAGTACTTCTGGCAGTAGAGTAATTAAGTGAAGATGATAATGAATCACCATCAACCTGCTTCTAAGGGTTTGGAGAAAGAAAATTGTGGTACTGTTACACAAAACTGGAATCCTGATGTTATTATGAGATCTCACTGCATAATAAAGGCACAAGATAAATAAATGGAGAGTCAGAAAACAATGTAGTTCAAGCAAATCCACCACCTCCAGCATTGCGTCCATTGGAGTCTCTCACAGTTGTGGGAAAACATATCTACATTCTGATTCATGTCCTTCTCAGCTGCTTTCCAAACATGTTTCAGCCTTAAGACTACATAAATTGCTTCATTAACAATGGAAAGATTTAAAAAGTTGAAAACTGACTATTCAAAATTTAATGTAAAGAAAATCCGAACATCTTCTCAGTGACTAAAGGGTAACCAGTGAAATTTAATTTGACTTCTTGTTAAGTGAACTCAGTTCTGGGTGATCCAAGGTTTTGGAAGGTTAACTTCATTTGGACATATTTATCACTTAAAAATTTTATATGGGTATAAAACATAATACAGGCCAATTAACATGTACGGAGCTTTCAGTATTTTGTTGCATCTCTGATAATACAGCACTTTTCAATAGACACGCTGTTTACAGGTTTAGTCAAGTTCTAGCAGATACAAATCTTCAGTGAGTTAGTTTTTCACCCCATATATGGTAACATTTATTTCTTGTTTTTTCCTTTCCCTGGTGAAAGTTCAATGTGTTCACTTATATATGGAAATCAACATGCCATTATTATTATATGCTTACAATATATCTAAAAGCTTTGCATTGTCTCCTTTTAACAATAAATAACTATCTTTTTCAGCAACAGGGAACAAGATGGACTATGTGATAAATGGAACAGATGAAGGATTTACCACCACTGAATTTGACTATGGAGGTGTAGTAACACCATGCCATGCTAAGGCTGTCCAAAAATTTGGTTCTAATGTCCTACCAACCCTTTTTTCTTTGGTGTTCATCTTTGGTCTTTTGGGCAATATGCTAGTTGTAGTGATCCTCATCAAATATAAGAAGTTCAAGAGCATGACTGATATATACCTGTTAAATTTAGCCATCTCTGATTTGCTTTTCATTTTCTCACTCCCATTTCGGATTTATTATTCAGCAAATGACTGGGTGTTTGGAGATGCAATGTGCAGAATTAATTCTGGAATCTATTTTTTAGGCTTCTACAGTGGAAGCTTTTTCATCATCCTCTTGACCATTGATCGGTATTTAGCAATAGTCTATGCAGTGTTTGCATTAAAAGCCAGAACAGTACTATATGGCATCATCACAAGCATTATCACGTGGATCCTGGCACTTTTAGCCTCTTCGCCAGGAATAGTCTTTTATAAGGTACAAATGGAAAATGATAGGAAAACATGCTCTTTGCATTTTCCTCAAGAAACTAACTTTCCATGGAATAAGTTCCTTACACTGAAATTGAACTTCATAGGCTTGATTTTTCCAATGATGGTTATGGCTTTCTGCTACGCACGCATCATAAACACTTTGCTGAGATGCAGGAATGAGAAGAAGAACAAAGCAGTCAGGCTTATTTTTATCATTATGATTGTTTACTTCCTCTTCTGGGCCCCGTACAATATTGCTCTTCTGCTCCAGTTGTTTCAAGCTGATTTTTCTCTTGATAATTGTAACAACTTAAGTAGTATAGGTGTAGCAATTCAAGTGACAGAAACACTTGCAATAGCTCATTGCTGTATCAACCCTGTGATCTATGCTTTTGCTGGTGAGAAATTTAGAAAATACACCATTACCTTTTTCCGAAAGCATGGTGGTCACCGTCTGTCAAAATACTGTGTCTTCCTGTATCGAGAACCTCTGGAGCGGGCCAGTTCCACGTACTCTCATTCTACTGGAGAGCAAGATATTTCAGCAGTCTTGTAAAGCATGTCTCTAGGAAAAAGCTGGACTGATTTTTACTGGTGCATTTTTATGGACCTCTGCAATACTGGACTTAAGGGACACTCTCAAAGGGTTGGGTCACTTTTAACAATACAGCTTTGGTATTGTTGTGAATAGGCATGATGAAAGACATAGATGAAGCTTTGTTTTACTATGACAATTCACAAACCATGCTATATATCAATGTTCATGTAATCTCAGTGGAATAATTATAAATGTAATAAGGCATTTTGCAAACAGGGAAGATAGCCTTTGCTTGAGCAGACCATATTATATCTGACCGCATTTGAGATGAGTTTGAAGCATCTTTTGCAGCAGGACATACGTTTACTAATTCTAATGCAATATGAATGACTACAGGTTAATTCTGTTCAGTGACATTTAATAAGTTTCAGCTCCTTGAAAAAGCAGGAAATTCCTATTTTCTAAATTCACTGAGGCTACACTTCTATTCATACTGTTCTGGGAGTAAGAGCTCTTTCTCACATTCTGCTATCTGTGGCATGAAGATGCTTTGCAAATTATTTTTATAGGTCATGTCCTCATGAATATGCCTTCATCCCATCCTCAATCAACTGCAGAGGCAGCGTTGATGCAAACAACATAATTTGGAAATGCACAGGCGCTGGTTCCCCAGGTGTCAAATGCCCTTTCTACCCTTAGAGATGTGAGACTGAACATGGGATCACCTGCATGCCCAACATGAACCTTCCCCAATAGGATTAACCTGACTATCGAATTTTAAAAACAAAATGTGACAAATGTGGTGCAAATCATAAATAAGAAACATATTGCTTTTTATCAGGCTACAATCATATTCCTGGCTACATGACATTTCAACTGAAAACATTGGAATGAAGTTACTAATAAATGTGTTTATAGCTGTCTTGTTAGAAATTGAACCATACAAGTTTGTTTTGTATTGACATGTTAAATCATTAAATATTGCTTGCTCATATTCTGGATTCCAGAAGTTTTTTATTTCGTATGTTCATGGATCATATAATTAATGAGACATAGCTCATTCCACTATGACATGACATGACATGACATGACATGACATGACAATGATTTCCCATCCAGTGGGGAAAACAATGCAACCTCAGAAGACTATTGCAATGAGCCAGGGAAGACTCTAGGTGGAATTAGGCTTCTCCAAAATATTTATAAGCTTTCAGTCAGAGCGTAGGTTGACCCTCTGAAATGTGGATTAAATCCTTGCTCTACTAAGAATGGCTTTCACTAGCTTTTCATTTACCTTAACAATTATTTCTGGAATTGCCTTTGGCCTAGGATACATCAATGATGCACACACATTTGGAATACTGTGTATAATTCTGGTCACACAGACACACCCAACATACAAAAGGGATATTGCACAGTTGGAAAAAGTGCAATCAGTGAGAAAAAATTGTAGTATTTGGATCTTTTCAGCTTAGAAAGAAGTCAAATGGGGGACATGATGAAGGTACACAAATGAATACCAAATGGAGAATGTGGATACTTGTTCTCCTTCACAGTATATAGACTTGGGGTCATTCACTGAACCTAATAGACATAATAGACATTTAACACAATTTGCACTATTGGCAGCCAATAATTTTGATAAGGAAGCTTCAGCCATCAGAACCCAGAGATCCCCTGCACGGTATGTCAACGTCTGTGCTGGAAGATCAGGCATAGTGGCTGTGCCAGAACCACTACTGCACATGATATGCTATCGTGGCTACTAATACACCATGTGGAAGATTTGTGGGATCTCCCACTTCAGCCAGTGGCATCACCACCCATGGGGAATATGGGCAGGTCATGTGGGGGAAATCTTTTTCATTCATTCATTCATTCATTCATTCATTCATTCATTCATTCATTCATTCATTTTACATAGCTACCAATCTCACATAGCAGCTCTGGATGGCTGACAGTGAATAAAAACAATAGCAAACATAGAGTAAAACACAGCCAACATGCAGCAGCCAAGAGAGCAAACCAAACAAAGTAGCACATCACAGGCTCCCACTAACACTTCAAATCCCACGCCTGGGAACATAATCATGTCTTAAGGCCTTCTGAAAAACCAGCAGGGTTGCAGCCAATCTAATCTTGGGTGGAATATGGCAGGGGCAGCAACTGAAAAGGCCTACTTCCTGGGTCCTTGACCAATGAGACCTACAGCATGCCTTTATTGCTGGATTTAATGGGATTGATAGAAACAATGGGGAATAAGTGGTTTTGCAAATAACCTGACCCTATGCCATGAAGGGTTTTGTAGGTAACAACCAAAACCTTGAATTGCACCCAGAAACACACTGGCAACCAATGCAGCTTGTGCTGCAGAGGTGTAATATGTGCATTCCAAGGTGCATTCATAACTGCCTATGCCACTGCATTCTGCATCAGCTGCAGCTTTCGGATGCACTTCAGGGACAGCCCCATGTAGAGTATATTGCGGTAATCCACTTGGGAGGTGACTAAAACATGAGTGAGGGTTGAGCTGAAGCCTGTTCCTCCCCATCCAGACCACTACAATTTCCAGACAATGAGACAGAACCTCCACTGCATTACTTCCTTGACCAAGGGCAGAGAAATAAAGCAGAGTATCATCAACATACTGATGATACCTCACCCATGCCAGCAGATGACCTCACCCAGTGGCTTCATGTAGATGTTAAATAAGAGTAGGGAGAGCCCTGAGCCCTGAAGCATCCCACAATGCTGTGGGCTAGATGTCTGTTCCCCCCCCCCCCAATCAACATTGACTAGAACAATCCTGGAGGAAGGAGGAGAAGCAGTGTAACACTGTGTCCCCAACTCCCAACCCCTGAGGCCAGTCCAGAAGGATACCATGATTGATGGTATCAAAGGCCACTGAGAGGTCAAGAAGAGCAAGAATGGACATAGTATCCCCATCCTACTCCTGCCAGAGGGTATCTGTAGCGGAGGGAATGGTCTTGAAGGGTAGGAGGAAGAGCCACTATCAAGACAACAGTTAGAAAACCATGGGCCAAGAAAGAAACTTGAGAAAACATCTCAGACAAGCACCCCCGCCCCCCACTTCACACAAAGATAAATGAAGGGAGGAGGAAACACATTCAGACTTGCCAGATTCTGTTACCATAGCTGTTATAATAAAAGTAGTATTGACCTACATGATGTTGGTTTCTTAATCTGGTCTACCTTGGAGGGCTGACAGCATTCACAAGCATGATCAATGCAGTTTTGGCCCAATACTCAGTCTGAAATCAGACTGGAAGGTGTCCAGATAATCCACTTCCTCTAGAGTCCTTTGAAGCTGTAGCCTGACCACCTTTTCAACAACCTTCTCTAGGAAAGGAAAGTTGAACAAGACAAATGTTATCTAACATGGTCAGGTCCAGTGATGGCTTCTTGAGGAGGGGTCAAACTCCTCTCTCAAAGAAGAATTTACCACCACCTGGACCCAACCACCTTCCAGGTGTCCCAGGAAGTCTTCACTAGTCTGGAAGGACATGTGTAATGGTAAGTGGAAATGATCTTGGCAGACAAGGGGAAGAACTACAGCCAAGGCAACAGTCGAATAAGAGGTAGCTTAGTGCACAGCAGGAATGTGGGTGTGGCAAATGTTTCAGAAGGGACCCTCCCTAGTTTCTTGGGCTATAAAGGCAAGGGGGAGAAATGTATTTTTAGACTTGCAGGATTCTGTTAATGTAACCTTACAATAAAGTAGAGCTAGTTCTTCTGGGTGTGCTTCTTGTCTGGACTACCTCACAAGGCTGACATCAATCTTGCAAGTCTCAAAGACGTTTGTCATACCCGCATTCTTCTGTGAGCTAAGCTGCCTCTTATCCAACTGTTGCCTGGCTGCGGCTTTTCCCCCATCTCCCAAGGTCATTACCACATGCCCTTACAACATAGGTCCAATATAAAGGTGGCTGAGCTTACAGTTCCTAGAACTCTATCCACTTCCTCAGGACCAAAAGGCTCAAATTCCTCCCAGATAACCAATCCAGATTGAACCTCAGTCACATCCTTGTTTGTTTGGTGTTTGTGCATTTTACAATCCATTGAAGAATTTCAGTCAGAAGAATGTCTACAGATTCTTGAAAAGGAAGCTGCACTTAGAATACAAGAGAATGACAAATCCCTTTATATTTGCAATCAGTTTAGTGGCATTGTTTTTAATTATTTTCAGAAGGCTTGTATTTTACATTATGATTGTTTTACCTTTATATCTTTGTAAACAACTTTCTTGAAAATTCTATAAAATAATGGAAAATCAGTTGAAATAAAATACAGATACTGAGATGGGCTGGGTGATGAATGTCACTGCATTTCAGTTCTGTTTTTAGCATAACAGACAGATATTGTGTCGGCTAACAGACACCAATTTCTTTTTCTACCATATTTTTTGAAGAATGAGGATGCAGTTAGAAAAAAAGTCTCTATTTGTATTATTCATTGATCTTTTGAAAGAATACAAAACTATCTACATGGATTTTGTTTCAGATGATCGTATGTATTAGCTGGGTGGGCAATTGCTTTGAGGAAAAAGGAACCTATTAACTTTCTTGTTTTATTTTATCCTTTTTCAGCTTGGTTGTAGGATTGTGGGACCACAGATAGCTGCCTACTGTATGCAGAATCAGTGATGAATCCAAAGGCTGACCATCCAATGTTCAATATGAAAATGGCTGATGTAACAATATCTTGTACAACTCTTCCTTATATATATACTGTATGTATGTATGTATGTATGTACTGTACATATATATATATATATATGTATGTGTGTGCGTGTGTGTGTCTGTGTCTGTGTCTGTGTGTCTGTGTGTGTCTGTGTGTGTCTGTGTGTGTATGTAAATATTATATATTATATATATTAGATGATGATGATGATGATGATGATGATGAT